TATGTGTGTGTATGCTAAGTTGTTCTCTGAAAAACACATTAGTTGCCCTTTTCGAAATTCATAGTTATCCAAGCAGAAGTTCTTGTTTTGTGTGTTTATGCGCATACGTCTTATTTGAAATATCCCTTTTATGTTCCCTTTGATGAAATATATATGAACACATGTAATCACATGCTCGAAAGAATTATTGCTGATATTAAAACATAGAAGCCAACAGTTTAAAAGACTATTAAAAGACTTTTAATTTTTCTGTACTACAGTCGTAAAGTGGATGTATCTTATTTCATGAAAGCAATGTGCTGACTTTTATCGAATCGTTTTCCGAGTTCGCAAATGAAAGTCTTGGATATTTTTATATATCCGAGTAGAGGAAAGTCTTGGAAATCTGACGGTATAAAATGTTTTAAATTGGTCCAGAAATGACTGAGTTATAAGCGAAAAATTGGCTCGAGGTTCGTCTACACTTAGAGACATCATTACGTTCTGTTCTGTTTTGCTTTTCCGTTGTCTCGTGCAAAGCAAGCGTGTATTACATACACAAAGCGTATATTCTTCGTCACAACGGTATATAACGAAATAAAAGAGAAAAGAAAAAAGAAAAGAAAAGAAAATCGCTATTTGTCGCAGTTCTACTATAAATAGGCGTGCAACAATATAAAGTTTAAGCAGTCACTCTACATTTTAAGCCTGCACAAGTTATATGATATAGAATTTTAACTATATTTTACATTTTATATTTGATATATTTTATTATGTACACTGAAGAAGGCCTCAATTAAAAGAGGTCGAAACGTTTGTTGTTTTTGTTAAATTTTAAAATTTAAATAAAATTAAAATACGAAACTAAAGTATCTAACTTTAACTCTATTATAAATCTGAAATAGTTCAGTATTTTCGTCACTACTGTAGTGATACTTTCTTTGCGCCATAAAACAAATTTACATGTATGACAAAGACTAATAACATATGGTGGTAATGTTTGTTCATTATTTTTAACGATATATTCTTCATAATAGTCCTCATTATCATTAGTAATTGGATTATTTGAAGTTTTATCGACACGAACATAATGACTATTATAGTCAGCATGAAGATCTTTTTCAAAATAACCCCCGTCTTGAATATGTAACATTTTTTCTAATGCTACTAATGAACCCAACAAGTAGATAATTCTTTTACCATATGATTTACAATAAAATATAGCGTATTTTGGAGAACTTGTAAAATAAAGACCTTTACCATACCGTCCTCCATCAGTTTTTCTTTGTTGTTCACAAAGAAATTTTTTTTCCGATATTCCATCTGTATTGATTGGACAAGTATCGTGAAATAAAATTCTTCCATTTAATAATTTTTCTGAACATTTTTTATATGGACCAAACAGTTGTCCATTGTAGGAATAGTACATTTACGACATCCAAGTTAAAGTTTATTTTTTTTAAGCAGCTGAATTTTTATTTAAAAAAAAAATACAGCAAATCGGGCTTTCTCCCATTACATGCTATCAAAAAGTATTAAGTTAAATTTAGTTTGAAGAATGAACCTGGCCAAAAAGCTCGATATTATGTTACAAAATAATTGCGTCATCCTATCGTTCGGTCAAGTTAGAAATTGCAACATTTCAGATATCAGCCACGTATCGACTTGTTTCCTATAGGATGTATATGATTGATAAGATCCGTGGCACAACTCTTTTTCGAATACAGATTCTATAAGGGGATATTTCAAGGTGTCTACATCACAACCCAAGCTGGTTTTGGGCTTCACCAAAACATTTTGAAGATTTCTGGAAAAATCTTCTAACACATAAAATTCGGCTTTTTGAAAAGCTATAGTGTATACACGAAGAAGCAACACCAGAAATATCTCAATAATGTCAGAATGTAGATAAAATAATTCTGGTCAATATGACACGTCTGCCAATTCTGAGCGATGGTTTGACCAAAGTTACGGAAGTTCTAATGGAAGCTTCAAAAAAGACACCATATACCCAGTCAGTCACCTATATGTTTTGAAAATTCGTTTTAACGCGGTTTTAGCATTCATAGAGCGCGAGAATCTACAGTTTCACCATGAATACGGCGAATTTCTTGAACTTTAAATATACGCCTTAATCAAAACCGCGTTTTTGTCATCAATAATTCGCGAGAAACGCGTTTATGACCATCATAACTTTTTAAAAACGCGTTTTCAGTCGCAATAGACTTCAAGACTCGCGAACGGCACCGAATTTTTCGCGTTTAGGACTCAGCTGAAACGAATTTAACGTGTTTCACGTTTTGAAAATTTATAAGACTAGTTTCGTAGACTGAAATCGCGAAATTAGGCATTTCTATATCAGCTCACTTATTTGACGTGTCACAGTGATTGTTTCTACTATCTTTTAGTTTTAAGGATTAATGAATTCCTTGTGCAATTGTTGATTCGAATGGTTTTAGTTTCCCGTCTTTTTCTCCCGATCGCATCCTTCAAATAACTTTTTCATTGAGATCGAGCGAAAGTTTCTTTAGGTGTTCGACGTGGGAACTGTCCGCCTTACCATAAGGGCTCACACTCCTCGCATAGACTCCGATAGATTTCCGATAGATTTCCGTTTTCCAGAGAACCGGTTTTCTGAAATCCGTCCGACAACTTTCTAGACATCTGTCATTAATCACTTTGAAATCGGTACACTCCTAAACCTGTAAAAATATAGAAATTTGCCAGTTTTGGCCTTTTCTAGCCGGAAAACCCAAAAGGGTTTTCTAGAAAACCCTTTTCAAAAATCCCTACCATGCCAAAAAGTATGAACGAAAAGTATGAAGCATGAACTTGATGCAATAGTTATTTGAGGGTGCAAAAGTCCCCGAGCAAATCTCTCCAATTGTTAAATCGATTAAGAGCACATGCGAAAAGCGAAAACCTATTTTCGCTGTGTTTTAGCTTGATTGGATGCATTTAAGCCCAAATGTCGGTCTGCCTAGCCAAAATTGCCCACTGTGTTTCGGTTATTGTTTTGAGATAAGGATGAATCATTCCGGTTTGAATTTTGATTATTAGTTTTGGATTGTGTTATTGCGAGAAAAAGAAATGACTCGCTTTTAATAGCGGTATCAAATTCACCAATCAAATTGGTTCTTTTCGTCCATATGGTCCGAAAAAGGACCATCAAATGTTTAGTATGATGATAGTTTTCTTTTAATTGCATCTATCGTTGCTCACGAGACGTCGTCACAATAATGGGTAAAATCGGATATTTAACGTTCAGCCAGTTAGAATTTGCAGACGCCGAGTTAGCTTCAACTTGTTGTAATGACCTAAAGAAATAACTTAAAAGTGCCGCTTTTTTAAAATTTAAGAAAACTTATGTTTTGTTACTTATGCTTTTTTTTGTGATTATGTTTTTCTCATGATATTTTGAGCAAGAACGGCACCGAGTCCATAGTCACATGCATCCAATTGAAGCATAAATGGATGATCAAAATTCGGATATGTAACAATTGGTGCAGAAATAAGGCGTTCTTTTAATAGTTCAAAGGCCTGCTGTCGATCAGAAGTGAATACAAAAACAGGATTATGTTTTTCTCATGATCTTTAAAGTTTCTCGAAAAACGTCGGCAACAAATTGTGCACCGTTATCGGAAACAATTTTAACGGGGATGCCATGAAGGCAAATGACTTCGTCATGCAGTAGTTGAGCGATATTTCTCGATTTAATGGTGCCTAGAGGAAAAAATTCGACCCATTTCGTGAACTAATCGACTACTACTAGGATGTAGGCATTCCCGCGCGGAGTTTTAGGTAAAGGACCAGTTAAATCAACTCTGATAGTGTGCCAAGGCGATTGTACTACGTGAGATTGCATTAAACCTGATTTCTTTTCGTTTGCGGCCTTAAAACGCTGGCAAAGGTCACAGGATCTTACATAATGCGCAACGTCACGCCTCATTCCGTCTCAATGAAACAGAATTGCTAATCGATGTAGAGTTTTTCGACGGCCAAGATGACCTGAAATTGGATGGTCATGAGCCAGCTGAAGAAGTTCTGTCCGCTTAGATTTTGGAATAACTAAAAGATGCGGGCTAAGATTATTTTTCAAAGGTGAATCTTCTTCTATTTTGCGGGTCCGATATAATTTTCCGTCGATTACTCGGTGAACTTTAGCCTGTCCCTCTATTTTTCGAAGGAAAATTTCATCAGCAGGACGAATATCATCTTGAATGAAAGAAATAAGAGGACCAAGATCTTTGTCCTGTCGTTGCGCCAATTTTATGCCATCTAAAATACTGCAACTGTCCCAAAGATTAACTGCAGCCTCCTGATTTTCTTCTAAAGGACCTATCATAATACCACTACTCTGTAAGACACCTATTATCTCAGATTTGAGAGGATACCGTGACAGAGTATCGGTATTAGAGTTGGCCTTTCCTGGTTGATGCTTAATAACCATGTCATAGGCATCAAGTTTCATGGCCCATCTGGCTAGACGGCTGGTTGGATCTTTTATAATTTTCAACCAAGTCAAGGACCGATGGTCGGTCCAAACTTCAAAAGACCGTCCTTCGAGATAAGGCCTAAATGTTGAGTGCCCCAGACAATAGCTAAACATTCGCGTTCAGGTGCAGAATATTTTCTTTCACAAGGCTGCAGGGTCCTGCTGGCATAGGCTATGACATGTTCAATGCCTTCGATATTTTGAGCAAGAACGGCACCGAGTCCATAGTCACATGCATCCAATTGAAGCATAAATGGATGACCAATGTTAGTCTCTTAATTTCGATCTCCTTCTGTCTCGAGAAATATGTGGCCTTGTTTGCAAAATACCTAACAGAAAATGGTTGGGAGAAGGGAACTAAAAGAAACTCTGATCAAATCTGATGAACAACTTGTGTATAATAAGATATTG